ATTGCTGCTATTATATGCCAGATAACACGTATATTCTGCTTATCTGATCGATGACTAGCCTTAATCGAAAGTTCTCTCTCGTGATTGGGATGGGTAATTAACTATAGGGGCTTGCGCCCGTAGGAAACCAGAACTCAGATCATAAAGTCCTCGCAAAATGAGGGCGAAATCTCTGGGTAGTGTCTTATCTACAAACCCATCTGCCTTCCAAAATTTACCTCGGAACTTAGTTCGTTAAAACTCCCTCTCTGAATAAGAAAAGCGAGTGGAGGCCGAGGCCGAATTTTCGGAGCCCACACAGCTAAATTTAATTTTTAATCGCAAATTCATAATATTGCATAATTATTTTTATATAATTTATTTTTATTTAAATAATTTTAATATTATTATATCATTTGGTTCAAAGCAGATCGAACCATTCAACTTTGAACATGTCCTTTTCCAGTTCGATGTACAGTCCAATTTTCACATTGATAATATGAACTAGATCTTTAACTACATAATAAATCATGTTTAACATTATATTTAGTGATTGGACAATATGAAAACCCATATAATTCAAAATGGACTACTTAAAGCTAGCAAACATACATGTGGGGCCTGTTAATGGGGTTATAGGTCAGAATGTGTTGAACCTAGTATAGGTCACACTTTTTGCGATTTTAGCTGACATTAGCCACATGATGGCTGGGAGGTGAACCTTGCTTACCCTTTAGAAGTCTCTGACCAACAACCCTAATGGATTCACTTTATCAGCACCAATTCAAGGTCAGTGCTAGCCAACCACTAACCAGGATCAATAGGACAAAGGACAACACCATGAACTCTCATTATTTATAGAGCCTTCAGGCCTCTTTGAAGCCATTTAATGTCTCCTTGAAGATGCTAAGGGTGATTGTGGCTGCCTAATTTAACAAATTACAAACTCCATAGCTCAAGCATTAGCAAGCCCTCTTCATCTCTCTTAATGCCATAAAGCAGCCTCCCGCTCTCCAAATCATCAAAGCAACAGTAAGGGAGGTCATTGAGCCTTACCATGATTGTTATCACGATTCACAATCTTAATCTTCTTTGACCATAAAAAGGGGGGTTTCCTATTTTCATCATTGACGCCAGGCCATTGCTCTTGATACCCCGAATGGCTTGTACATTGTCGTCATCGAAATACTTATGATAACCCCTTAGGATGTGGTGCTGGATTTCGAATGTCCCTATTAGGCATTGAAAGCAGTTAATTGGTCACTCTTATGGCCTTTTGGTACATTTAGTTGAATAAGTTCAAATAGGTTTAACCCAAACTTATTATCCCAAGATGGTGAGACTCATTTTAACCAAAGCTTGCGAGTCCTACTTTTGAATATACCAATCAAGCTAAAAATTCACATTCATAAACCTGCATAATACAATATCAAAACGTTTGAAAATATATGTGCAAATTCAGTCACCTTCAGGAAAGCAATCACAATTGCTAATGACTAAGCTGATAATGAAAATTCATATTAAGAAGCCTAACGGTTTGCATGTCGTACAATGAATATGTTGATAATGAAAATTCAAATTCAAAAAATTTGACCATGTGAGTGCATGTATAATTTTGTCATTTGGAACATTTCTTCAATAAGACATTAATCTATACACAAAGCACAGTGAACACATACTTCAAGATTATTTTACAGTATAAATAATAAAAATAATAAATGCCAAAAATGAATGAGAATACCCTGTTCTAAACATGCATCAATAATCGGAAGGCGTAAATTTTAATTTTTATATAGAAAATGACAAGATTTGATATATGTTTGTAAAAGATTTATGCTCTGGTACTCTTATGTAATGATTATAATTAGCATAGTAAAAGTTAATTAAAAAAAGAAAGAATTATAAACAGGGTCACCTGAGAGACAACATGTTGCGGACTTTAGGAGCAGGAGGCATATCCATGAAAAGGGAAGTTGCAAAGAAAGAGATGCGTCTTCGGACCTCCAAGTTAGCAGGAATATCTGAAGCAGCTTCTTTGACAGTGAGCATCAGAAATAAACGTTTGACCTGATCTTCATCAACTAATGAGCTTCCTGGGATTGCACACCTTTCAAAAAAAAGGGAAAAACCCTAGTGAACTTAAGTACCTGGTCCCTCAAAAGTCCTTTGTCTGGTAGTGGGAAACGTAGAACAGAATTTTTAGGTCCTTCGTCATGCTGTGGGAAAGGAACAATACAACCCCTAGAATCTGATTTAAACATGTGCGATACTTGTTGCAAGAGGAAAACATCCACACACCCCTCTTGAGCATAGGAGGAATCCATAATATCCAGTATCCTAAATCAGTTGTTTTCACGTATCAGAGAGGTGAAAAAATTTATTTCAACATGAAATACAAACCCCACCTACCTGCCACCGTCGACCATCATATCATTGATGAGAAATTCAAGGACATCTTGGAGTGAAATGACCAGTTCATCTCGATGAGTTAGGTTATTTTCAAACTTCATTTATATATGTCAAATGATATAATAAGAGATTTGATTTTTACAAGTAAGAAAATAGAATAAAAAAGTAAAGAGATGCAAATTAAACTGCGTCTTATTACAATTACCAGAATCTCTACCATTTTGATAACTTTCTCAATTAAAACAGGTAACTCAGCCATCTTGAAATCAGTTAGGATGCTCGAATTTCCAATGCTTGTTTCAATTTCATCAAAAATAGCGCGTAAGACCCTGAAAAACTTGGGAAAGCTTACAATAATATTCTATAATATACATTGCAGTGCATTGCAGATTATCCCAAGAAGGAAACTTAGTACTTCTGCTTTTATGCATAAAAGCTAAAAAAAATAGCTACCTTTTCTCTAGGTCTCCAATGAGAAGAAAATTGAAGATATTATTCAATGTATCATAGCACTCCTTGACAGCATAGAACATGTACTTGTCTTTTTTTATTTTTTTATAAAGCTTCTCATACTTTCCGACATAATCTCTCGCTATGTTCACAGCTGTAGAAAACTGGCAAGCAAACAAAAGCTCTAAATTAGATAATGAAATGACAACATAAGGATTTAACGGATTAAAAGTACCTTCATAACTAAAAGAAACAAGGGCCATCGTGCTGAAGTCCCGCCAAACTCACATGCAAGTGGCATGATCATCAAATCCATCTCTCTACCAAAATAATCACGCTCCATAGAGTGTATGCTTATAGATGATATAGCTTGATAACTAATATATATAACTTTACCTGCTATTAATCAAGTCCTCAGACCTGAAATGAGCAATAATTTGATTCCATACTAGAGCAAACTTTGGAAGCTCATCTCTCGCAACTTCTGTACTCTAAACAGCATGGGTTATTACATTCAGTATAATATGCACTAGATATCAATTAAAAAGATTATTGAGCAAAAGAATGCAGCTTTTAGTACCTTGAAAGCTTTGTTCTGCAGGATATATTTGAAGATGCTCCCTTTTTTACTTTGCGATGAATGAGCAACAAGAGAAACATTGAACATTGATGGGAAGGAATGAAAACGACTTTTGACCATTTCAACTGTTCGAATCTGGCATAATGTATGTATGAAATTCCAATCTGAATATTGCTTCATGCAGTGTTGACAAGCAGTGCCACAAAATTGCGTAGTTATTAAATCTAACCTCACCAAGGTGATGAACAATGCCATAGACTCCTCCAAATATTGTACAGAAAATAGAATACCAAATCTGCATGTCCATAAAGTAGACCTGGATCCAAAAACAAATAAGAGAATAGACAATAATATGTACAAATGAATAAGTAGACAAATTCTCAATGGTCATAAGCTCTTTCGACTTCGAACTAGTTATCTCACAATAATGATTGGGGCCCAAACAGCAAGAATTGCACCAGCATTGTTTTGAACTGAAATGGACAGAAATCAAGGGTGAGGAAGTTAATCATGTCGTGCTAGAACATGTTATGTATAAAACAAGAAATACCTTCTGGAAAAAACTCATGCCAATCATAGGTATTGATATTAACTTTCATAATATGCTTCGTTGGTATAATAAGAGGTTTTATCTGCACAAATCAGAAAAAATGTGTTAGGATATTGAAAAAAAAAATAGATTTGTAAGGGACAAATAATGTCAAATGAGCTACAAAGCACAAAAAATGCCTGGAACAAAAATCAAAACCAGAATACACCAAAGCCAAAAAAAGAATTAATCAACCTAACTCTATCAAAACATTAAGCGGTTTATAGTAAAGTTGTTGGCTCAAGAAAAACGACACGAATGCATGAACCCCGCTTTACAGATGTAGGATTCCACTTCCCTTAAGTCAGATTGAAATTAACTAAATTTTTCCTAAGGGTAGTGTCAGGGTTTAATTAGATCTGGTGTCCTTACTTCCTATGAGCGCAAGCACTCATAGTTAATTACCCCTCTTAACATGTAAGAGAGAACTCTCGATTAAGGATGAAAAATTTTTAGGTAGCTTAGTCTCAATTGTGGGGAAAATGGAGATAAACCCGATCAAGATCACATGGTTCCATCGTCCCAGATATACCATAGATTTCAGTTTACCAACACTAACAACATTGATCGTAGTGTCCAGGGAATCTGCTTAGCAGCCATGGGTTGCCTCCTCTCAGGGATCCCGAGTAAACTGAAGTGGTTAGATGTAGATTTTAGTTTTAATTTTTTTTGGGATTTGGGGTTTACATCTATTAGAATACCAAGAAATTGATTTATTTTGGGATTTATGAGTTTGTTTAGAAGTTACCCAAGAGTTTGGATTGGAGCAGGTCTTATGGCTTCTTTAGGAAGTAGCCCGGGTATTTAGATTTAGGTTGGGACTTATGACTTTCGTAGAAAATAGTTCGGGTATTTGATTTGGAATGGGGCTTACTTTCCTATTTATGAGTTGCCTAAGTATGGGTCTTACAACCTAACTCTACAGCAAGGCTGCCCGAAGGTTTTGATTATTTGGGTAGGACTTATTACTTCCCTTAGGAAACAGCATGAAAAGTGAATCTTACAACTTAATTCTTTTAGACTAAGATGTCCATAGGTTTGAATTTGATTGTTTGGATTGGATTTGGGTTAGGTCATATGCCTTTCCTTATAAAGTTGCGTGTTTATTTGTAGGATTGTTAGGGTCGATGTACTTCATTTTAAAAAGTTTCCCTAACGCATGGGACTTACGACTTCACTTAGAAGTGGCCCGCTGATGGATCTTAAAACCTAACCCTATAGGCTAGGATGCCCGTAAATTTTAATTGGAAGTTTGGTTGGAAGATTCAGTGGCTTCCTTAGAAGTTGCTTGGTTATTTATAGGAGCATTAGGGTTGTTATACTTTATTTTTAAAGTATCCCTAATACATGGGACTTACGACTTCACTTAGAAGTGGCCTGTTGGTGAGTCTTACAACCTAGCCCTATATGATAGAATGCCTAAAGGCTTTAATTATTTGGGTAGGAGATCCTACGATAGAAATTCCACATGCTTTCAACATAGGAATCATAATTATTCTATTTCAAAGCATTATTTAAAGATGAAATTCTCTGTTGAGGCTTTTGCCTTAATTTTTCAACAAGAGTTGTCCATCTAATTAGATTGGGTAGGGATTTATGGCTTTAATTGGAAAGTAGCCCAATTAGTGGGACTTACGACCTTTATTAAAGGTAGCCCAAATATTTCAGCTGGGTAGGTCTTATTGCTTCCTTAGAAATTATCTAATGATGGGTCTTATGACCTAGCCCTTTAAGCTAAGTGGCCCGAGTGATGGGTCTTACAATCTAATCCTATAGACTATGATGCCCGTGTGAGGGGTTTAGGATTGTGTTATTACCTAAACATTTCTAACAAAGATCGGATTTACGGCTTCTATTAGAAGTGGTCGGTGTGTTATTTGGGGGTTAGGGTTAGGTCAATTTTACCTAAAATTTTGCCATAAGGTCGGGCTTACTGCTTTCCTTTGAAAGTTGCCGGATAATGGGACTTACAACCAAGTTCTTAGAAAATAAGGTTGCCCCGATGTTTTGAGTTTGATTATGTGTTTGTATAAACAATAGTTGCTTGTATAATGTTTGGAGATTTATTTTATAGTTTTTTGAGTTTGTGTGAGTTTGTGATTTTGATACCTCGAAGTTTTGACACTGGCGTTAGTGTTTTAGTTGTTCTATGCTCGTAGTCTTTTTCTACTACAGTAGTCCACTACTCTATTTGTTTTTTCAACATTATTGCTCTAATAGCTTTTTCGTACTTAGCATTTCTTGCTTCCCAGTACTTTGCTTTATTAGTAGTGGCTAGATTTACTATTTTTCACCATTCTTGATTTGATGATTTTTTATTGTAACATACTAATATTTATTTGTTTCGTTTACAGGTATGGGTACTTGCAGCATTTCAGGGAGCTCGCAGATAGTTGCAGGAGCTTGTAGCCATGAGGGATACAATTACAGGGGTTGGAGCCCACTAGGGGCTTTAACAGGAGTTGGAGTGTTGTTGGTTTAGAGAGTTTTAGGGTTTGTGAAGGATTGTATTGAGAGTTGACTTTACTTGTATATGTCAATTAATGCAAACAATTTTTCTTTTCCTACATTTTTCTTCAAAATTAATTTAATTAATCAACTAACCAAAAATCAAATTTTCTAGTTAATTGTATTGATCTCAATTTTAGAACTTTTGGATTTAAAAAAAAAAGCTCTCAGACTTAAAGATTTCATTTAAAACGCTCTCATATTTTAAAACTCTACTATTTTCGCATTTAAAACTCTGTGATTTAAAATTGTGGGCTCCGAAAATTCGGCCCTGACTTCCGCTCGACTCTTGCTTTTTCTTTTTCGGGGGGGAGTTTTAACAAATTTAAGTTCCGGGATAAATTTTGAAAGACTGATGGATTTGTAGACAAGACACTACCCAAGGATTTTGCTCTCATTTTGCAAGGACTTTATGATCTGAGTTCTTGTTTCCTATAGGCGCAAGTCCCTGTAGTTAATTACCCCCCTCAATCACGAGAGAGAACTTTCAATTAAGGCTAGTCGTCAATCAGATACGTATAAATACTTGTTATTTGGCATATAGTAGTAGCATGAGTTTGGATTTGGGAATTTGGAAAATTGATATTTATAATTAGAAATTTCACCATCTTACACTTAAAGCGGATGGTGGGGGAATGGATGATGGACCCGATCAAGATCTCATTGTTCCGTCATCCCGGACCATTATGGTCCCTTGTCTACTTAATTAGAGGAGGTAGTCGACCCAACCTGACAAAAGGATCCTTGTCGGCAACCATGGGTTGCTTCGTCCAAGGGTACCTTGTAGACCTGGGGTGAATGTTTGTCTAAAGGGACAAATTTGGATCCACCTTAGCTAACAGAGGGCTTTGTGCCCATAGATCATATCCTATTGATTCATATCTCAAGGATTTGATGCAACTAAGGAACGTATTGGCTCTGGCCATAACCAGTATTTCGTGGTGCCATTTGGCAGCAAAACCACTAGTTCAGAGGGCCCCGGGTCATAATCGTTTATCCTGCGATGTCATTTGGCGATAAACCCGCCGGTTAGAGGACACGTACCACATCCTTATTGGCAAGAGATTATTTGAGAATGGATCCTAATGATATTTTCGAATAGGCATTAGCTCTATGTGAGTTTAAATAAATTTTAATTTGTTCACCTCTACAAACTGTTGTGAATGATGGATTGATTTTACTTTAAATAATTTAATGGTTGATTTCAAATTTAAATATTTTAAAGTTCAATGATTTTTGAGATTTTTTTATTTTGGGTATTTGGGTGGAGGTTGGAAGGCATTTAAAAGTGTTTATGAACCCCACCGGTTGAGATAAACATTCAACACGGTCATCATCAGGGTGTGGGATCATTCATTGACTAAACCTTGTCAACCCTATCAACTTGCCGATAGAGGATTGGGTTTTGTAGGTTTTGTGCATTTACTAGTAAATACATATTGTTATAAGCCTTGAAAGCCTAATATGAATATATTAAAACAAATATACCGATCATCACAACCTTATATTTGTTTAATGGTTCGAACTTTTTCGACTCATATTGATCCATATAGAAGGATCGAGTTCGAACTTGAATATACTTATTGACCCGCGCAGCATCCCTAGACGTCACGTGTGTACTTATAACACGCTCGTCAGGGCCCATGCGAGTGTTTGGGAGGATTTTATAATTATTTTGTTGAACATTGTCGACTTTTATTTACCCTCTTAGGAGGATCAGGTCCAAATTTGTTAACCCGCGCAGCATCCCTAGGCGTCATGTGTGTTCCTACAACACGCTCGCCAAGGCCCATGCGGGTTTATGATTGCATACCCCGTTTCAGTGTACCTATGTGTATACAAACTACAGTGCATGTGCGGTGGCATTTTGGACATTCGACGTGTCTTTTATTATAGATCATAGAAGTTTATTTTGTCGTAGTCTTTCAATATTTTCTTGTGGATAGTACATTAGATGCATAACGTGTCTTCTACTGCAACGTGCATATTTGCTTATGGCTTTATAACTTGTAAAGGAGTTGGTGTACCTATATGTGCACTGATGTTGACTTCCAGATGAATTGCATTCATTGTATATTGTCTTTGTGCACTTTGATTGATAAATAGTTGTGAACTTAGATCACCAAAATTTGCATTAAACTTTAACAGCACATTTGTCGAACATTGCTTCTTAACTCTGGCGGGCATAATGTGTGGTGTGTTGATATTAACTTGAATACATCTAGATGTATCACATCTTCATTTTTACTGTATGCCTAATTCTTCTGGTTATATTTTGAAAGCTTCTTGACTATCCTTTTGACAATGAGCCTTAATTTGATATCATCATGATTCTATAGATTAGCAAATGGATGGTTGTTGAGGAGCTGCAAAAAGTCATTATCCTCTACGCCTTCTGACGTCAATACTTCTTTATTCTTGTAAAGGGGTGGACATATATACTTGCCACATTGATATTTCCAATGATAGGGACAATTATCGTTGGCATTCGTGTTCATTATACTTCGTATGGATGAGTGTATCACTGTCCCACTA